CTCAACTCGACCTTGCCAAACCGCGTCCATTTCATGTGGTTGGGCTTGTCGTCGGACGATGCGAAGAACTCAAGCGGGGCAGTCTGATTAGTCCAGTGCCCAGATATTTTCACGACCTGGAAATACACGTCAGAGCACGCGCCTCCCATGCGCCTGGCGTCGGCCTCCAGGCGCAGCAGCGTCTGCTCTGCACCGGTCCAGCGCGGGATCTGCAGGAGGACGTTCACGCCACTGCGGTAAAGGTCAAAGTGCTCGCCATACATGTTGGTGAGATGGGGGTCGCCAACGCCAGAGACGGGCGCTGGTGTCGGCGCTGGTGTCACTGAGGGCGCCTGAGCCACCACGTTAGCAGTCCCGCCATAAGCCGTCGGGATGCCGGTGATCGTGTTGGTAGCACTCCCCTGCAGCAGCAGCGTCTTCTTCTGGTCGGCGGTGAGCGCGGTTGTCCCTGGGTCCTCGTACATGATGGCCACGAGCCCAGCGACGTGTGGAGTGGCCATAGACGTACCACTCTTCGTACTCGTCGCAGTGTCGCCTGAATGAGACGTCGACTTGACAGAGCTGCCCGGAGCCCAGACATCGATGCAGGAGCCGCAGTTGCTGAAGCTCGACTTGGCATTCGACTGATCGTACGATGCCACTGTAATTGCCGAAGGGACGAACGCCGGGGTGACAGTGCATGCGTCGGTGTTGGAGTTCCCTGCAGCCACCACCACCGTTGCGCCACTGTTCACCACCTGGTCCATCGCGTCCTCTACCGATTGGTGCGTGCCAGGGCCCTAAATACTCACGCTAATCACGAATGGCATGGGAACATTAGTTTCAATGTACTCGATAGCGTCGACGATCCACGACAAATAGCCAGTGCCGTCGTCCTTGAGGACCTTCGCCGCGTAAAGGGTTGCGGCGCTCGCGACACCATAACAATGGCCTATGGAAGTGCCCGCGACATGGGTGCCGTGCCCGTTGAGGTCATTGGCACATGTTGTGTCGGTTCCATCGCATACAATCAATGTATTTTCAGGGCTGGTTAGATCCAAGTAACGGACAGCCCGGCCTTCGAAATCTGCGTGGGTTGAGCGAACGCCGGTGTCGAGAGAAAATATGCTCACCCCACTGCCCCGGGGGCGGCCCACGTCGGCATTGATGGCGGAGATTCCCCATGGATGATTGCATGTCGCGGACGCACCACACCTCCCATCACGATGTCTTCATCATAAACCCCGACCTCCTCGTCAGCAGCGTCAAAGATATAATTGTGAAGCTCGTCCTCCTCGGCATACTTCACGACCTCAGAGTTCCTTTCCAGCACTGCCTGAAGACCGTCTTCTGTCAAATCCCCAAACGCGAATGCCAGCGCGCCCATATCTGGTTGGGTATGCCTCCCACTGCCCTGGAACTCCGGCTCCGCGATGAATGTTTCCAAAACCTGATCCGTAGCACTGCTGTTCAGCGCGAAAATCCATTTACGAATCGGCGCCTGGTCACGTCGATGAGGATCGGCCGCCGACGGGTAGACGCGCACGTTGGCGTGAGTGTAGAACTCCCTCCCTCTTTCGTCCCTCGACACTGTCTGAGCAATCTTCGAAATCTGCATCAGCTGGAAATCGCCCGCAGAAGCAAAGCCGGCGGCGCCTGAGGCCCCGATCAGGCTGGCGATCACGATACACCACGCCATCTTCGAAACAAACGACCCAAAGGCAACACTTATGAATGTGAAACCAAAGGATAGGTACAATCTACGTCAAGTGTTCTTGAGCCAACATGGCTACGGAGGGCCCTTCTCGGGCAGTCTTGGGGCCAGGTGGCGACCCTCGCAGGGCCATTCGGGGCTGATCCTGGAAGCCTCCAGAGCCGTCTTGTACTCTCTCAGCGAAAAGGCGAGACTGCAAAAACCGTTCAAAAGCATGCCGGAAATCAATGATTATCGTCAAGGGACTCGTGGGAGCTCTCTTGGGCCGCTCTTGGACCGTCTCGGGAGCCTCCAGGGCAGTCTTGGAGCCTTGTTGGGCTGCGTTTAAGTCCACTCGGGCTGACTTCCGGACATCTTGGGCCGTCTGGGGACGATCTTGGGCAGCCAGGGGGGGTGGGCGACCTTGTGGTCGGGGTCCTGGTCCCGGGGCCCCGATCCACCATATTGCGATCGAGGCAATGGCCCGGGGGCCCCTGGCTCGGTCCCCTGTTAATAGCATGTGCGTCTTGTATCTTGACGCAGGGCCAGTGGCCCGAGGGCTCGAATTTTGCGGAAGACGGATGGGGAGCGTCATATGGTCGAACGGGGTGCGTTCCCCATAGCCTGTATCACTCTCCTCCACGGGTCCTCCACTTTGGCGCCGAAGGCTCAACAAATGCTTGCTAAACTGAGGGTCTTTGCTCCATCACCCTGCTGTTGTCATCTTGACTTCCGGTAGCCTCCAGCCGAGCGTGGCAGCGTGCTCTGGCGTGCAAGCCAGGACTCCGTAGACGGGCACTTTGGTAAGCCAGGACCCTGGCGCGCCCGAGAAGACTGCCACGAAGCACTCTCTTCGCTCTTCCTTATCCCCCGCTGGATCCTGCAATACGTCCTGGCTTGCGTGCCCTGGCTTTTGGGGCCGCGGGCAAGCAGCCGCGTGGCAAGCCTGGGCCCCGGCCCCTCCGTCGCAGAACGCATCCTCCGCGTCCATCCGAACGTTCTCGTCGGCCTTGCACTTCCCCGTGAAGGTGCTGCACTTGGCCTCTCACGGTGGCCCGGCTGGCCACGGGAGCTAAGGAGCGATCAAGCACACCCGGATGTGCGCTGTCTTGACTCCTTCAATGCCCGGACCCCGGATGCCTCGACCCGTTTCCCAGCACCGGCTCCTCATCCCGACTCGTTTCTTGACGGTCGCGGGGCCCAGCCAGGGACCCTGGGGGCCGAAATTGGCCAATATTTTGTTTTGTTGTTGTTATTGCGGTTATTGTTGTCGTCGTCGTCGTCGTTGTTGTTGTTATTGTTGTTATGGTTGTTGTTGTTGTTGTTGTTGTAGTTGTCGTAGTCGTTTTTCCTTCAGTTGTTGTTGTTGTTGTTGTTGTTGTTGTTGTTGTTGTTGTTGTTGTTGTTGTTGTTGTTACTGTTGTTGTTGTTGTCGTCGGCGTCGTCGTCGTCGTCGTCGTCCTTCATACATATAAAATAAAACTAACTAGTCACTACTATTGTTTATGTTTTGCTGTTTTGTGTTATGTATGCATACAACTGTTTGTATATCTGTATGTGTGTGTATATGTACATGCATGCATGCATACATACCACATGAAATCAACAAAAAACGACGCGAGCATGTCTGGGCAGAGGCGGCCCCTCCCGCGGCAGCAGGAGCAGCCCAACCAGGCTTCGCCGCAGGCCGGCCGACCCTGCCTGCCGCGGCCGCCTGGGCTGCTTGGAGGGGGCGGGCCTGCCTGGCCCTCCTCCTCCTCCTCCGCCTCCTCCTCCTACTCCTCCTCCTCCGCCTCCTCCTCCTCCTGGCGAAGACGCAGCCAGGAACGGGGACGGACCGGGGACCTCTGGAATCCGCGGGTGGTGGACGGTGCATCCCCGACATGCTCGCGTCGTACACCGAGAATCTGATTTTTTTCAATCCGGCGGTCGAGGGCCCGTCAGCGCTCCTGGGGACCATCAGAAATTGATCCGGGACGAAAAACCACCTCCAGGGAAAGGGTCGGGACCTCTGGGGCCGCGGATTGAACAAAAATCATATCGGCGGATGTCTGGGCACCTTTCGGCCTCTGGGGGGCCTCGCCGGGCCCTGGGACCGTCAAAAAACGGCTCGGGATGAAGAGCCGGCCCCAGGGAGCAGGTCCAGACTTCCAGGGGCCCCGTCTTGAGAAAGTCAAGACGTCGGACGTCTGGGGCCGTGGACGGTGCATCCCCGACATGCTCGCGTGGTGCACCGCCAGACCTGATATCGCCACGAAGCCTGCCCTCGGAGGACCCGCGGGCGCGACTCGCGAGGAAGACAAGAACACAGAAGAGGATGCCTACGGGGCGCATCATGCTGATCTCCGTGTTGTCCGCTTGACACTGGACGGTGCATCCCAGACATGCTCGCGACGTCAACAACAAACCCAGGGCGGGATTTTTTTCGGATGCCGTCGGCCTCTGGGGGCCCTCGCGGGACCCTGGGGACCGTCAAGAAGCGACTCGCGAAGAAACTCGGCTTGGAGGCCTGGAAATGGGCACACCAACACCAACACAGGGCGCTGCCTCCACAGGGGGAAGATGATCCCAGATTTCGGTGTTGGTGGTAATATTTCGGTCACCTTGGAAGCCAGAATATTGCCACCATCACCGGATCGGGATCTTCTTCCCTCGGTGGAAGCACACCGCCGATGTTGGTGTTGGTGTCAACCTCTAGGCCTGCGATCGGCCCCGGGGGGAAAGAGTCGGGACTTCTGGGGGCCCCGTGTTGAAAAACTCAGGGCGTCGCATGTATTGATCGGGCGCCCGTTCCGGAGCGCTCCAGAACACTCTCAGAGGAGGAGGATGAGGCGGAGGAGGAGGAGGAGGAGGAGGAGGAGGAGGAGGAGGAGGAGGAGGAGGAGGAGGAGGAGGAGGAGGCCAGAGTGCTCTGGAGCGATTTATCCCGACCCTGCGGTCGGGAACTTTTGCTTCGCGAGTCGCGGCGGTGGCCCCGCCGACAGCCGCCTCCTGCAAGCAGACAGCGCGTCGAGAAAAGGCTCGGGACGCTGACGCTCGAGGGCCAGGACGCGGTCAGCGTGTCGCGCCGAAGCCACGTGGGCCGGCACTGTCGGCGCGACACGCCAAGCAGAAGTTCCTGACCGTGTCCCGACCGCCTCGGGGCCATCTTGATGCCTTCTGGGGCGAGGGCAGAAGCATCTCAGGCCCCCTGGAGGCAACCCTGGGGCTTCTCCATCTTGGGCAATACCTGGGCCACATGTCTGGCTTCTCCAGGGCGGGTGCTTTGGAAGCCACAGGGGCGACACGCAGTATAGAACTGATGCTTGTGATTTCAGCTATTGTTCCCAGCCTTCCATATTCATGACCTCTTGGTGCGTCTCCTGGGCAGCCTTGTTAGGCGGTCCTGGGAAATGTCGATCCTAGGCCTGACTGCTTAATTCCCACTCTTGACATGTAAGAAACATTTTTCCCCCTTCAGACTCCGAGAACGATGGGAACAGCCGGCTTCCCATCTGATGGGAAGGGAACTCCCCCAGGCAGAACCTGCTGTGCATCCGCCCTCGGCTGCAGAGCCAACCGAAATTTGTGTCACGAAGCTCGGCCCCTCGAAGCAGGTATCAGTCCCGGCGCCGCGTGGCCGATGGCCTGCCTTCCCAGAGAACGGAGGAGGTCCTGCACCCCCGGGCCTTGCTCCAGGACCGGCTCCTCGACCCTGGGCCGCTCTCTGACGGCCGTGGGGCCCGTGGAGGGCCCCGGGAGCCCCCCAACAGCGGCGACGGAGCTCAGGACCCCTTTCACTCGGGGCCCGCTTCCTGCATGGCGGGCGCGCCAGGAGGAGGAGGAGGAGGAGGAGGAGGAGGAGGAGGAGGAGGAGGAGGAGGAGGAGGAGGAGGAGGAGGAGGAGGAGGAGGAGGAGGAGGAGGAGGAGGAGGAGGAGGAGGAGGAGGAGGAGGAGGAGGAGGAGGAGGAGGAGGAGGAGGAGGAGGAGGAGGAGGAGGAGGGGGCTCGGGGCTCGGCCGGCCGGGCGAGGGCCTTCTGCTGGCAGCACGCGCCGCGGTCCTGGGCCGTCGGGGGCGTGCGCGCGGTCGCTCGCTCGCGCGCCCGCGCGCGCGAGAGGCGCCCGGCCGCTCCCGCCTTCCCCCGCCGCTGTCGATGGCGCTGCGGGGCACGACGTTTCCTCCTGCTGGGTCGATCCGATCCGATCCACCTCCGTCCCCGCCCCTCTCTGCCCCCTTCCCCTCCCGTTGCCCCCCCCCTGCCTTTCCCTCTTTTCCCCCCGTCCTCTCCCCCATATGCCCCTCTTTCTCGAACGGCCTCGTCCCCCCTCCCTTCCCTCCTCCTGCGTCCCGCCCTCCTTGCTCCCTTCGGGCTCCTCCCTCCCAATTGCTTCCCCCTCCCCCTCCGCCCTATCCTGCCTTTCTCCCGCTTCCCTCCCTGCCCCCCCCCCTTGCGTAGTTCGTGTTCCCCCTCCCCTCTCTCTCTGCCTCTTTTTTTGTTGGGTCTCTCTCTCTCTCTCTCTCTCTCTCTCTCTTTCCGATCTACTCACATCCTTCAGCTCGCATGTGCTCGACCCAGGTGAACTTCCCTAATCCGAAGAACAGCGCAACAGCGCAACAAAAGCTGCAAACAATTATGGCACCAAACGGCGGTGATGCCCAGTACAGGGCAGCTCGCGTTAGGACGTGAAGGAAGAGGAATCATGCCTTGGTCTGCCAACGACGAGATGAACTGAAACGCCACGCTTGAAGAACGTAGCCAAATCTAGCAATTCGTCGTAACGCAAGTTTCTGTCGCTCACAAGTGCCGGCTTAACCATCGCAGTGCCGACTTAACAGCCACAGCAAGTGAGGACAGAAAGTAGCCAGGCCCCTTCAGAACGTTCCGAGCCTCGAGCGTATCCTCGGTGGGAACTGAAAACTGAGCAGAGCCAACGGAGCCTCGAGCGTATCCTCAAGTGGACCTGAGAGCTGAAACATCGAGCTCCGAGCCCGCTCAGAACCTACCGAGCCTCGAGAGTATCATCAGATAGAGCTGAAAACTAACTCATTCCGAAGTTTGTGATCGTTCTGCCACGGTGCGCATGTGAATCGAGGTGGGCGGCGCGAGTCTGTCCGCAGGCGATGCTGCGTCGAGGCAGAGTGTGCCTGATCGCAGAAGCCGCTCGCCGTCGAGAACTCACAGCGCGGAGTGAGATTGAGAGGACGTGCAGTACGCTATTTCTGCCACAAGGACAAACGGGGGGAATTCACCCCTGGCGGCGGAGTCAATTTTCCCGTGTGAAGAAAGGTGCGGAGTCAGTTTTTAACATGGTAGTGGACATATAATACATAAAACCATGTTGATGGGCCGAAGCCTACTCCGCCGTCGCTCGACCCCAAGTTTACGGGGGGAAGCGGGTTGCACGTCTACAGGGATGGTCAACGCATTAGGAACGCCATTGCAAGAAAAGAGGAGGCTCAAAACTGACGCAGCAAGAGAGAACCTTTCCGAATTCCCACCACAGCGATACATTAAAAGCGCAAGTGAAACATGACAAAACTGGTGACTCCATATGTACGTGCCCCATGGCTGCAACTGTGTTCGTCGCCAGCTGCTCCGTAAAAACATCTTCGCCTGCACAACGTGTTTGGCCCCCCATGGCTCTGGTGAGACCTTGCCCCCCTTTCATCATGCCAAACGACATTGCGCCTCTGGCCCGGCTACCGTTGAGTGCCGTCGTCCAGAATGATGTCGCGCCCATAGTCGCATTGGCAATCGCATATGTGACCTGGTTGGTCCCATTCCGTTTCGATTCAATCGGGTCTTGCCGCCGCTTTTTGGACCCCTACCCTATGAACGCGGCATGGTACACATTATCCGTGATGTCGCGACAATGCCTGTCAAGCGCCAAGCTTCACAACATGGATTTGCCGCAGACGACACCGCGCAAAGCTGGCAATCCACAACACATGAAAAACATCCGCTTCCCTGGCCCCATGTATGGTTCACTTTCTCAAAAGCCAGCGAATGGGACGTCGGCAATCATCCGTCGCCGTTTGGCTGGATGTCGCGGCAAGTTAGATCGGCGTCATTCTCGCTCCAGGATCTGTGGACAGCCCCACTACCTGCTGATCGCACTGGTGATACAGCACCCTTTCCACCCGTTCGGTGCGGCAGCACTTCTCGAGACCACGTCGCCAAAGCAAACCACGCATTCGCCATCGCGAACAAAATGACCCCGCTCTGGGTGCTTCTCGCCGCGCTTCGAGCGGACACGTCCCTGCTTCGATCGCCAGGAGACTGGCAACTTCTCGCTTCGGCGGCGCGCCCGGGGGGAAGATAGAGGAGGCGGGCCTTCTCACATGGCTCAGAAGGCCAGAGGGCTTCTGAAAAGCCCCTCGCCTTTTGAGAAGGCGTGCCCCCTCCCACTTCCCCCCTCGGGAGGTACGCCGCCGAAGCTCTGGAGCAACGCCGACGTCTGCTGGCCCAACTGGCTGTCATTATCCATTTCCATTTGTTCGGGCTTCCGCCGCGTCGGAAAGACCTTCCGCAACCATCTGCCCTGCCACTTCTTGGTCGCCCGCGGGAGATGTGACGCAGCGTGCCACGACCAGGCACCGAACGGTGCAGATGTTCGAGGGACTTCACGCAACAAGCTTAACTCATCAGCAACAATTCCCGCGCCCAAGAACGCGGTCAAAAATCATATTTCGACTCTGCATGCACGAGACACAAGCCGCTTCCAACCATACCGGTGCAATCCAACATTGCACCCATCACCTCTGTCTTGGTCTTGTGCTGCATGTGCGTCTCGCCAACCGCGATTGTGGAGAAGGTCGCTGGATAGCTTCATTGCGAAGGCGGTCCAACTTGCAAGCGCGGTGGGTACAAAAACTTGGACTTGTGAATTGCGTCTGTGTGCTCCTGGCGCATTTTCGCAAACCCCTCCAGGTGACCGCGTAGTCAGTCCAGACACCGCATGGTAATCCAACCCCACGATGCTTCCACCTGTCAGCGATCGACGCCATGAGATGGTCGTGGAAAAGATTGACTTGTCCAACGTCTCGACTCTTCTCCGCCTCTCCGCTTGTCACCTGCCGCGAATGGGAAAAATCGTTACGCCCTGCAGTGGGGACGCCGATTCTTGCCAACTCCTGGACGAGGCAACGCGCGTTTTCCGGACGAGTGCCCGCTTCCTGCAGCACCTCGCCGAGCAGCTCGTGGCCGATCTCGTCGGAAGCTGTGGTGCCACCGAGTGCGCCGACGAACAAATCTAGGCCCAGCCGCGATGACAAACAACCGCCGTCGCAGCAAAGCGACATTGTTGTTGTTGTTGTTGTTGTTGTTGTTGTTGTTGTTGTGGTTGTGGTTGTGGTTGTGGTTGTGGTTGTGGTTGTGGTTGTGGTTGTTGTTGTTGTTGTTGTTGTTGTTGTTGTTGTTGTTGTTGTTGTTGTTGTTGTTGTTGTTGCAGGACATGCCCGGCTCAGGGGTCCACAGCTGCAGAGTGCGTCCTTGGGAAGCTGGTCGGTGGCGCTCCAAGCAGACGTGAGGCACCACTAGCGCATGCAAATCAATTGCGGAAGTCATAGGTACGTATCGAGCATATCAGCTTGCGCTGCTTGCGGTGCACCAGCGCATGCAATATTTTCCTAAGTGCCCAGAACCACAACGCATGCCCTGCTCATTCGAATGCAATGCAGATGCCATTTACGGGTGACTCGCGAACACAAGAACACATCGGCCAGCGCAGGCTCCAAATGGATCAGGAGACTGACATGAAGTGGACTGGATGGGACTGAAGTAGACTGTACTGGAGTAGACTGAACTGGACTGGGATGGCCTCTACTCAACTCTATTCTAGTCTATTCCATTATACCCTGCTCTACTCTACTACCTATCCCGCCTTACTCTACGAACTCTACAGTGCTCTACTCTACACTACTCTACTTCTACTCCTACTCCTACTCCTACTCCTACTCCTACTCCTACTCCTACTCCTACTCCTACTCCTATTCCTACTCCTACTCCTACTCTACTTCTCTCCTACTCTATTAAACTCTGCTCTACTCTACTCTACTCTACTGTATTCCCACTCTGCTCTACTCTGCTCTGCTCTGCTCTACTCTACTCTGATATAAAACACTCCTCTCCTACTCTGTTATACTGCTACTCCACTCTAGTCTACTCTACTCTACTCTGCTCTACTCTACTCTAATTTACTCCCCTCTACTATTACTTCCTCTACTCTACTCTGCTCTATTGTATTATTCCCGAGTCTACTACCGTGCTGTAGTCTAACTCCACTCGACTCTCGACTGTGTTAAACTTTCCTCTACTGTACCCTCAATTAAATTATACTCTACTCCATTCCTTCTCTACTCTTCTCTACTTCCGCTCTACCCTTGTCTATTCTACCCTCCTCTATCCTGCTCCACTCTACTCTCCTCTGCCGTACTCTACTCATATACTCTTCTCTAGGTGCCTCTACTCTTCTCTACTGTACTCTAATCTTCCCTACTCTTCTCTACTTGACTCTTGAGTTTGGCAATTGCAGGGCGATTGTTCGGGTGCCACTGGAATAGCCACAGGAAGCCATTGCAGTACCAGAAGAAACCACTGCAATTGCAGAGGATGCCATTTCAATCGCCGAGGAAGTGATTGCCACGGTATGGCGAAGAATAGAAGCGGGGGGGTAGGAGCAGTGGACCAATTCTATGGATTGAGCTCGGGCTCCTGCAGGCAAGCCTATTTTGAGAACTTGTATACTTCATGGGGTCAATCATTGCTCGCCGCAGCGTATGTTCTTAAAGCGGCACGGCCTTGGATGACATATCAAATACTGATGGCCATGTCTGGGTCGAACCATCCCGACAGCTGTTGATCGTCATGCGCTGCAACTCTGCAAACCTGTCAGCCTGCACAGAAAGCATCGCCATTCTTCTCATCACGGATAACGCCGAAGGTGTAAGCCTCGCACGAACAGAACTCTCTGTAGTTTCCCCCCCAAACCGCCGTCGATTCTGAGTGTCTATGGAGTGGCAGGGTTGTATGTTCGCCTCCAGGCTCGTGGGCGCGCAGCAGC